AATTCCTAGAAGCAGTGGGATATTGTTGGCTCTGGATTCCAAAATTTGCTGAACTCGCCAAGCCTTTATATGAAATCATAAAGGGACCAGAGGTTAGCTTTCAATGGACTCCAGAAAGTGACAAAGCCTTCCAGGCCCTCAAAAATGCTTTAATTTCAGCCCCTGACGGACATAAAGAAGCCATTCCATCTTTTTGTAGATGAAAGGCACAGCATCGCCTGAGGGGTCTTAACCCAAAAGCTCAGGCCATGGAAAAGGCCAATTGCCTATCTATCAAAAAAACTAGACCCAGTGGCCTTGGACTGGCCACCCTATTTGAGAGCTGTCACGGCCATTGCCATATTGGTAAAAGACTCAGACAAACTAACCACGGGACAAGATTTAACCATTATGGCCACCCACACTATAGAGTCCTTGCTCCGAGGAACCCCTGACAAATGGATGTCTAATGCTCATATAACTCATTATCAAGCACTGTTACTAGACCAGCCCCGGATCCAGTTCCAGCACACCCCCAGCTTAAACCTTGCAACTTTGCTGCCGGAAGAAAGCACCTCGGAACCCCCACACTGCTGTTACGAGGTAATGGAGTTCCAGAAACTACGTTGGAATCTCATGGACGTCCTGAGACCTAACCCAGACCTGACACTCTTCTCGGACGGCAGCAGTTTTGTGCAGGATGGAGCCAGCAAGCTACCAAAGTATACAGATGAAGACCTCATGACCGCACGAAAACTGGGTGGAATTAATAACCCCAAGGGATGGCTGCAACTCCAGGACGGTAGAATCTTTCTCCCACAAACTTTGGGGCGGCAACTTCTACGCCAACTCCACAAAGAAACTCATTTGGGAAAGACAAAACTAACTGAACTAATGCAGAAGGAATTCTTCCTTCCCCGCCTAGATCAGTTGGCGCAGGAGCTTATCCAAGGCTGCGTGCTTGTCAACAAACTAACAATGCTAAGGTCAGTGTATCCACCCAAGGAGTCCGGGACCGGGGATTAATCCCCAGAAGACATTGGGAAATAGGCTTTACTGCCTTGTCAACAAACTAACAATGCTAAGGCACTGCAGGCACTCCAAAAAGTTCAATGGGCTGTAATAGAAGCTGTGCGGGTGGCTCTCCAGAAGCCAGCTCCAGAAATCCCTCACCTATTCCAACCCGGTGATCGAGGTTGGGTGAAACGGCATAAAACTGAGGCTCTTGCCCCCAAGTGGAAAGGCCCTTATGTGGTAATCCTGACAACACAAGCTGCCATTAAAGTCAGCGGCGTCTGTCCTTGGATTCATCACTTGCAGGTGAAAGCGGCCACCAGCACGCTCCCAGAGACATGGAGAATCATCAAACCGGCTGCGAGGAGGACCCATTAAAGATAAGACTCTCACAAGCCCTGGACTCTTAGCCTTGTTAGTCCTAGTTCTCCCCCTAAACCAGGCCTATCAGCCTCAACTGAAACAATATTATGTGCCTGGAAACTACTCATGGGTTCTAATTGACACGGTGATGGGCGCCGTGATTTCCTCCTATCACGGGAATGAGCAACCACTTTTTAATTTCGACCTTTGTGCACTGTGGATTGGCCTACTAGCCAGCCATGTTGATGACGATAATGATCCCCTGGGGCTCGGGTATTCAAATTCCGAAATAGATCTTGTAAAAAAGGGTTTCCACATTTGCCTAGCCACAGGCCCTGACCATTGTAACGGGCCCCAACTGTTTCACTGTGCATCCTGGGGCTGTGAAACTATTGATCCTGGAAAAATGACGACCCCTACATAAGCCTCCAAAGGCAAACACCTACAAACTTCCCCACTTTGGAGCAGTGTCTTGGTCACCCTAGCACCTGTAATCCACTAAAACTCATGTTCATGGATTGGGACGCCTTTAGTATTCAAAAGGTATGGGAAACAGGTAAAACGTGGGGACTCCAAATATATGCAGCAGCGAGAGACCCAGGATGCCATCCACCATACAAAGAAGGTCCATTCCCCATGCCCCTAACCCTGTAGGACCAATATGCAATATTATCCTGCATGAACCAGCAACTCCCAGTCTTGTGCAGGCACTGAGTCCCAAGTTAACCACTCCCTCCGCTGTGATTCCCCCTGTGCTGTCTATCCTGCCTGCTACTCAGTTTCCCTCTCCCCCGCCTCGCAACCAGTTTCTTCCAATGCTGTCGGCGGTTTACCAGTTTGTTAATGTAACTCGCCCTAATCTGGCAAAGGACTGCTGGTCATGCCTGGACCCTCGTCCCCCATATTACGTCGGAATCGGAGCTGTCTCCCCAGTTGGAGACACGGAGAAAAGTATACGAGTCCTCAATTTAACCATACAGTCCCAAGAACTGTGCCCATGGGGCACCCACCGAACTCTAACGTTGGATGACCTCCAGGGGCAGGGGACTTGCCTTTACTCACCGTGATTCCCAATAAATAACTCTCCCCTTCGGGTGTCCTGCAGCAGCACCTCCCGCATCAATATGGTCAGCCTCTCAAACTCAAAAAACCCCCAACTAGCTGTGGCTTCCCCGACTACGTGGTCTGCCTGCACCCGGGCATCACCCCATGCGTTAGCCTGCAGCACCTGCAAGTTGCATCAGAACTTTGTATCCTGGTGCACATCTTGCCCCAAGTGTACATATGTGAAGGGATGGAGGGAAGGGAGCACCTCCAACTCCCAAGGCTTGCACAAGCTCAGTGTGCCCCCATACTAGTGCCTTTACTAGTGGGATTAGAAATTGCAGGGCTACTGCCATGGGTACGGCCTCCATAGTCATGGGAGATCAAAACCTCAGACAGCTGAGTATGCAGGTCAATGCGGATCTAAGTTTACTAGAGTCTAGCATGTCCCAACTGGAGGAACAGGTTAACTCCCTGGCTGAAGTAGTGCTTCAAAATAGAAGAGGTCTTGACCTCCTCTTCATGAAACAAGGGGACTATGTATGGCCTTGGGAGAAGCTTGTTGTTTCTATGCCAGCAAGTCAGGAATAATATGACAAACTCTCATGCAAGTAAGGGAAAATATAAGGCAGTGAGAGTTGCAAAATCAAGCCTCGGGGAACTGATATCAGTCCCTCTTCTCTTGGCCCCCCTGGCTCACCACCCTAAATGCAGCAATAGCCAGCTGTCTCCTCCTACTCTTAATAGGCATTACTGTGGGACCTTACATTATTAGGCACCTCCTAAACTACATTAAAAACAGCATCACGTCCATAAAAATGATGTTTCTAAGGTCCCACTACACCCCCTTGTCAGAAGAGACAATGATTTGACTCTTGACACAACTGAAAAGGGGGGAATGTAAGAGAGAGAGAGAAAAAAGAGCAGCCTCTGTCCCTGGGATTGTAAGGGGGGGGGGGAAAGAGATGACTTCAGTCTTGAAACAGGCGTTACTCCCTTCCTGTAGGGTTTTCTTTGAAGGTTTCTCTTCTGTAAACATTGCAAGATAAATTGTATCCTGACCCACTACACTTGCCTAATTAGCACATCTGCTAGCTTGCTGATGTCAGCAGAATATTGCAATAAGAGTTCTGGAAAATGTCCAACTCTAACTTTAGCTAACCAGAATGTAAGCTAGGACTACTTAAGGAAGCTCTGAGTGGCAGCTTGGGGCTGACTTGCTTGGAGCTTTCTTCCTGCAAACGGTCGCCAGTTAGCAGAGCCTTGACTAATAAATTTTTCCTTTGTTAAAATTAAGTCGGTGGGCTGTTATTTAATCACACGGACCCTACTTCAGTGGACATCCAGATTTCTTCTAATGGATGGAGATGATTTGTTAGATCTGGCTCAGTAATGGCATCTTCCAGATCACTAAAATTGTCCTTTCTAGAGTTCTGGAAGAATATGTAATTGGGAGCCTGTTTTAGAAGCTCATCTGCTCCAGGGTCATTGAGTGCATAACACGAGTCTTTAATTTTTTTTTGAGTTGGAGTCTCACTCTGTCCCCCAGGCTGGAGTACAGTGGCATGCTCCTGACCACTGCAGCCTTGACCTTCTGGTCTCAGGCGATCCTTTAGCCACAGCCTTCCAAGTATCCGGAACTACAGTCATGCACTACTACACTTGGCTAATTTTTTTTATTTATGGTAGAGACGAAGTTTTGTCAAGTTGCCCTGGCTGGTTTTGAGGCCCCAGCTTGGGCAGTCCACTCCCCTCGGCCTCTGAAAGTGCTGGGACTACATCAAGCCTGGCCTAGAGTCTTTAATAATCTGATACGCAAGGAGGTCACCTGAGTTTGTGAACTTCTCGCATTTGTGTATTCTCTTTTCTCTTATACTCTCCCTCTTTTTTTTTAAAAAACAGTATTGAGGACAGAAAAGCTCCCACAGTGGGAGAGGACCTGAAGGATTTTCCAAACTCTCTCTTTTTATCTAGGAGCATTGGGGGACTTATTACTTTTTTCTTATGTATTTATTCATATATTTATTCCTTTTTACTTTTTACTCTTCTTTAGGGGTCTTGTTTCTTTGGTACGTGGATGTGGCAATGGCCAGTTTGTTCAACATGTCAATGGTGGATGTGGATTTCCCCAGCAGGGCAAAAAATGTGGGCTCCCCCTTGAAACTACTCATAGGGTGCATTCAAGTGTTTTGCTGCCTCCGCAGACTGGGACGGAGTCCTGAAGCCCAGTGATCAAGCCACCAGGCCTCATTCTTGTACTACAGTTCCCAGGATGTCCCGCGATGCATGTCACATCCTGTTCCTCCCCCCAACTTCCGGTGCAGGGAGGCAACTCAACTCAAATTGCTACAAGAAGAAACATCCTTTTCTTTTTTCTTGCCTCCTCCAGGCCCCTTGGATCACATCTGCTGTCATTCAAGATCAGAAGGGTGGTGACTTCTGGCCTTATCCAATTAGCAGATGCTAGGTCAGAAGATGCCCAATCAGAAAGGAGAATAAAGTGAGGTGGTGGTTTCCGGGTTCCGACCGGGCCTTTTTTTTTTCCGGGGCCTGCGGAAGTGCCGAATCATCTCGAAACAGTTGCATGTCTTTGCTTCTTCCTTTTTCGCCCTGTGAGATGCAGGTCCAGGGTGTCGGTAAGGAAGACGCTGGGACACCCAGAAGCCGGGAGATGGTGAGTATGGGTGTCGGTGCGAGAGCGAGAGGCAGGGACATGGATGACCCGGTTGTGGCAGACCGGCCTCCCCGTCAGTTCTGATCCTGGACCTGTGCCCGCCGGCGGCTCGGTCCCGGTCCCCTCTTCACAGGGTGGGTCTGGTTCGGTCCCCTGTGCCCTGTACCCATGCCGTTGTCGCCCTACTAGAGGCTTCTCCAGGAAAACCCATGCTGCAGATGTGTGGGACCCAGGAGTGTCATTTTGGTCTGACCCGCATGGGGGCCCCTGGGGGAAGGGGCTGTGGTCCTGACCCCGTCCCTCTCTCCTACTAGAAGGTAAACAAAGGCTCCAGCACAGTGTTAAGGAGTTCCTAGAGGCCAACAGGGGGTCGTGAATCCCTAAGTCCCAGTCAGGGCTTGTGGTCTGGGGTCTCCGGAGGGCCTCGGGGGAAAGGCTTGGAGAAAAGGCAGGGGGAAGCCAGCCACGGGCAGGTGCTGGTGGGTAACAGCCCCACAGTCACTTGATCTGGAATATCCAGGTGGAAATCCCTAGACCAAGTCATCTGGGTTGTTAGGGTACTGGACAGGGTGAGGGAAAATGGATGGAGCAAGGGGAGCAGCACTGCCGGGGCTGACAAGCTGAAGGTGTGCGCTGGGAACCCAGAGATCCGAGTAAATTGCAAAGAATTGCAACATACAGAGGTGAGAGAAGAAAACATTTGTTTAAGAAAAGTTCACCCCCCCCCAGAGTCCTGTCTTAAATCCTTTTCTTGGAGATGCTGCACGTGATTGCCGTGACTTCCTTGTCGACCTCCTGTGAATGTCTTCGGGATCCTGTGCCTTGGAGACCCATTGATGTCTGTCCATATTAACATAACCCCGGGCATGACAAGGATTCTAATTCTCCTGCACCTTCCCAAATGGCATTTCTTAGAGCTAGTGGAGGGTGCATCTCCCCTTATCTCCTAGGCATTCCCAGTGAGTAGCTTTGGGGGATCCTTGGTTTCCCTGTAGATAGTGCCTAATTTACTGGAAGATCGAATCCCCACCTGCTCTCCCTCTGAGCGGTCATAACTGTTGTGATTACAAGTTTTGTGACTTTTACAATCCTTGCCCAATGCATGATGTCTTAGGCATTGTAAATTCCCTTTAATCTACGCAAGCTTGATTGCCGCTGTGAGATAGCTCTGATTCTAGGAAGTCTGTTTCTAAAAAGTCAACGTCAGTAAAGTTAATTATACCTAAAGTGTGCATTTCTCTATAAGCATAGCTTCTACTTTCTCATCATTGTGTCAGGGTTTCAGAAAGATGAAAAATGGCTTCTCACTCTTGGTCTGTTCTTTCAAGGGTCATTGGCAGTTTGTCACCAGTTCCAAACCTGGTTCTGTCTTGTGGGACAGCCAAAGTCAAGACAAGAAGTTGGAGCAGGGGTTGTGACTTTATTTAGAGGACCATTAAAACTGAGAAGATGAGGGGTTAAGACCCCTCTTGGGTTTTGTGTAGTTTTTTGGGGTTTTGTCCAGGTCAGTGGTGGGGGAGAGAGAGAGGGGAGAGGTTTGCTTGAGCCAGAAATTTGAGGCTAACCTGGACAACATAGCATATCCATGTAGCTGTAAAAGCTGATACAATATAGCCAAGAGTGGTCATGCATACCTGTAGTTTCAGATTCTTGGGAGGCTGAGAAGGAAGAATCTGTTGAACTCAGGAGGTCAAGATAGTGATAAGCTCTGTGGAGACACTTCACGCCTGCCTGGGTTACAGAGTGATACTCAGACTTATAAAATACATGTAATTCCCAGGCTCAGTGGCTCAGCCAGTAATCCCACAGTTTGGAAGACTGAGGTGAGTGGATTTCCTGAGCTCATGGGTTCAAGACACACTTGGGAAACTTGGCGAGACCTCATCTCAACAATAAATTAAAAAATTAGATGGGCATGGTAGTGCACGTCTGTAGTTCCAGCTACTTGGAAGGCTGAGTGGAAGGATGGTCGGAGCCCAGCAACTCGAGGCTACGTGGTCAGAAGTGTGCCACTGCGCTCTAGGCTCAGCGACAGAGTGAGACTCCAACTAAAAAAAAAAAAAAAACATATAATTTAATTAAAAAAAAATAAAGGCATATCTTCAATATGTCGATGTGACTTGTCCAGATAATCTCATCTGACAAGAAATGCCAGAGGCAGTTGTGGCAAAAATGACTGGTTCTCAGGTAAATGTGTTCCAGGTCAGGGGCTGTGTCTCTTTTCCTACTGGAATGTCATGATTTTGGAGTGTGCAAACCTTGACTTTTTTTTTTTTTAAGTTGGATTCTCACTCTGTCACCCAGGCTACAGTGCAGTAGCATCCTCCATCCCCCATAGCCTTGACCTGCTGTGCTCAGGTGATCCTTCCACTTCAGCTTTTCAAGTAACTGGAACTACAAGCACACACACCACCATACTCGGGTAACTTTTTGATTTATTGTAGAGATGAGGTCTTGTCAAGTTGTCCGAGCTGTTCTCAAACCTGTGGGCTCAATCAATCCTCTCACCTATGTCTCCCAAAGTGTTGGGTTTATAGGCACAAGTCACCATGCCTGGCCTTTGTATATGTCTTATTCTACTTTAAAACTGTTTATTTCCTTGATTTTTCAGTCTTTATTTATGTTTAAGATGTGGGGTATAATTCAGGGCTATGTATACAAATGTCCATGATGCAGGTAGGATTGTTGATGAGGTATGCCCCACACTCCCTCAGCAGTATTCCACTTTCAGCCTTTTATTTTAAGTGACTATCACACTGTTTTACTTTTCAAGTCCTTATTATGGATAATAACGTCTTTCAAACTTTTTATGGATTTCTAATTTAAATAGTTTGCAAAACAATTTGTTTTCATCACTACACAAACAGCTGTTTGCATATCAGTATCAAACTCAATAATCTGATTAGAGGATTATTGACTTAATGATACCATTTAATATTTCTTCCCAATCATGTAGTTTTATTATTTTTATTTCTACTATTTTTTATGTATTTCAGAAATATTTTACACTTTTCTATAATTTGATCTTTAAATGTAATTTTTTTTGTAAATTTCACAGTATCTTTTTAATTTATTAACAGGATTGTGTCTTTCTCATTGATTTTTATTAATGTGATTAATTGTATTGATGGATTACCAAATGCTGAATCTCCTAAGCATTCCTGACATAAAGAGAGCTTGATCATGGTGTAATGTTGCAACATGCTGACACAGTGTTTCTACTGATTTTTTTTTCTTTGAGTTGGAGTCTCACTCTGTCCCCCAGACTGGAGTGCAGTGGCTGCTCCCGGCCACTGCAGCCTCAACCTGCTGGGCTCCAGTGATGCTTCCACCTCAGCCTTCTGAGTAGCTGGAACTACAGGCACATGCTACCATGCCCGGGTAATTTTTGATTATTGTAGAGATGAGGTCTGGCCTGTGGGTCTCAAACCCACAGGCTCAGGCAATCCTCTCACCTCAGCCTCCCAAAGCACAGGATTACAGGCTGAGCCACACCGAGCCCGGCTGATACTTACATTTCTATTCAAATGTGATTTTTCTACAAAGAAGTGACTTGAAATCCTTAATATGGAATAGAAATTGTGCGTTGACATTTTCCTCATCCAGGGAGACTGGGCTTCTGTGGTTTTCTCTTTTGTTTTTTCTATTATTTTTATTTTAAAATGTAGGGTATGGCCGGGCTTGGTGACTCAGCCTGTAATCCCAGCACTTTGTTAGGCCGAGGGGAGTGGATTGCCTGAGGCCGTGGGTTTGAGACCTGCCTGGGCAACTTGGCAATACCTCATCTCTACAATAAATCAAAATTATCCAGGCATGGTAGTACACACCTGTAGTTCTGGCTACTTTGAAGACTGAGAGGGAAGGATCACGGGAGTCCAGCAGGGCGAGGCTGTGGTAGCCGGAAGTGTGCCAATGCACTCCACTCTGGATGACAAACAGATACTCCAACTCAAAAAAATAAAATAAAATAAAAAGTAGGGTACAATTCAGGGTTAGGTCATAAACGGTCATTGTACATGTAATGCTTGGGGACCCATCCTGATGTTATATCCCCCACAATGGCAGTGTCCCACTACTGCCAATCACTCTGATCATGTTCTGATAATTGTTCAGGGTCCACTCATGAGTGAGTACGTGTTGTACTCAGATCTTTGTTTATGAGATAAAACACTTGCATATATATATATATTTTTAGTTGGAATCTCACTCTGTCACATAATGTGTTAATAATTTTGTGGCCACCTCCTGTGTTATGTGAACTACAGACATGTGCTACCACACGTGGCTATTTTTAAATTTATTGTAGAGACGAGGTCTTGCCAAATTGCCCAGACTTGCCTCGAACCCAAAGGTTCATGCAATCCTCTCCTCTTGGCCTCCCAAAATGCTGGGATTACAGCATGGATTACCAAGCCTGCCTGACTTTTATTTTTTTTAGTGAGTTTCACTGTTTCTCCTGACTGTAGAGCAATGGCACACTCATGGCCACTGCCGCCTCCACCGACTTGCGAACCTTCCACTTCAGCCTTCCAAGTCACTGGAACCACAAGTGTGCACCACCATGCCTGGCCAATTTTTTTATTTATTGGACAGATGAGGGCTCACCAAGTTGCTGTGGATGGTTTGGAAACTATATGCTTAGGAAATCTTGTCATCTCCTCCTCCCAAAATGCTGGGATCATGTGCATGAGCCAACTCACCCATCATGAAAGATTCTTTTTTTTTTTTTGAGTTGGAATCTCACTCTGTCCCCCGGACTGGAGTGTAGTGGCCGCTCCCGGCCACCGCAGCCTCGACTTGCTGGGCTCTGGCGATCCTTTGCCTCAGCCTTCCAAGTAAGCGGAACTACAGGCACGTGCTACCACACCCGGCTAAGTTTTGATTTATTGTAGAGATGAAGTCTCGCCAAGTTGCCCAGGTGGGTCTCGAACCTGCAGGCTCAGGCAATCCACTCACCTCAGTCTCCCAAAGGCGCGGGATTACAAGCTGAGCCACCGGGC